ATCTGTTACTTGTAAGAGGCCAGAGAAGAAAGCAGAGAGGGCCATGGTGGCTCCCCTGGGACAGGGGGGGCCCAGAGCAGCAGTGCCAGCTGCTCCTGCTCTTGTCATCGGGGTGTGCTCCTCTCTGCACTTGGACAAACAAATGCCAAGGGGGGCTCTGGAGGGCTGTGCTCCTGTTACAGGGCAGGAGCAGGCTCTGCTCCCTCCCAGCACTGCAGGACACTGGGGCTCTGTTACAGGCAGGCTAAATAAATCATGTGGCCATGAGATGTCCTGAGGAAAGGAGCTGTACCCACGCAGAGCAGGCAGCTCTGCCACTCCCCAACAAACCAGCACAGGCTCAGCCTGCTCTGGCACTGGGGGGTTAAAGGCAAATTCCAGGGGGTCAACAGAGGCACTGACCATGAAGGTCTGGGCTTGGAGACAGTCCAGCTCAGAATAATGGCTGGGAACAGGAATTTCTTTCTCGCGTGCTTTTGTTTTCTGCAGTGGAGCCTCCAAATGTATAAACTCAGCAGGATCTGAACTTCTATCTCTTGGAATGGGGACTGATGGCTCTTGTTGGGGACTCCCATCCCTGGAAGTGTCCAAGGCCAGGTTGGACAGAGCTTGGAGCAACCTGGGCTAGTGCCCAGGGCAGGGGGGGTGAAACTCGGCGTCTTTAAGGTGCCCTCCAGCCCAAACCATTCTGTGATTCTGTGAATGTGGCTTTCAGAAAAAAGAAAAAAATCAGGCTGTCTCCCAACACAGCTTGAGCACATATTTTCATAAGTAAAAGCAATATTGTTCTAATAATCAAACACTAAAAAGGGTCTCAGAGGGCTCCAAGCAAACCTGGCTCATTAATCACAGAACTTCACACGTGGTGTTAGTTTGGCCAGGAGTCTGGAAATGCCAGTTAATCATTTAAATTTTGGAGCTTCCCTGGACTTCAGAAGGTATTGGAATGACAGAATAATATCAAAACCATTTTACAATTAATATTTTAGGAAGCACACATTTTCTTTATATGAACCATTCCTGCTAATAAGAACCTTATTCTGGAAGCCATGCACAATGGAGATTTTCCAACAGCTTTTGCAAGAGTTTTCACTGTGGAGAAAACTGAGGAACAAAAATAAAAATGCTTTTCATGTGGTAAAGTTGTAAGAAGTTATTAACAGAAAACAGGAAGCCCAGAAGATGTCAGTTCTGAAATTCCTATGAGTGGATGTACAAGATGCTACAATTGATCTCTGCTTTTTAAATTTGATTTTATATATTAAAAGAAGCAATTTTCCTCAATACAAATTGTGAAATTCTATTACAGTCATCTAATGATGACAATCCACTAACAAACTTGGAGTTTCTTTTTTATTTAATATGAGGAAATCCTTCTTGTTTTACCAGTCTCTTTCATATAATTTAGGCAAGTATACATATAAATATATCTAGAAGTGCTTTGAACTCAACACTTCTCAGACCCAGAGCTGAGGAATACTCCTCAATGGGCAGGTTTGGGGCTGTTCAGCCACACTTGGGCAGTAAGTTAATGGTAGAAGTGGGAGGAGAACAGGCTCTTTATTTGCAGCTCCCTGCTCTACTGAGCAGAGCAGATTTCATGTGAGATAACTGTGCCAGGGCACTGTGGGGGGCACTGCCAGGGGGCAGGTCAGGTTATGGTCACACATTCTTAAGCCCAACAGCCCCAAGAGCATGTGCAACATCAAATTCCATTTGTATGCCAGAAGAGGTTCTACTGACCCTCCCAAACTACCCCCAAGACACCTTGGAGATGCCACAAAAGCAGTTGTACAAACCTTGCTGCTGTCACAGACCTGGGCATGGACTGAAGGGTCTCCTCAGTGCTGGTGCCTGAGATGTGCTGTGGGGGAGAGGAGAGAGCTGGGAGAGAGGGGCAGGAGGCACTGACACACCCCAGCCACTGCCATCCATCCATCCATGCACTCCTGAGCCTGGCTTTGGTTAGTCCCAGTCACTCCCATCCATGCACTCCCAAGCCTGGCTTTGGCTCCACCCTCGCTGGAAGTGCCACATGGCAGAAACAGGAGCTGAGCTGAAGGAACAGATGCTGCTCACAGAGAAAGTCACATCCTCCAGTTAATCAACTTATTTCAGTCAAGGGTTTGCAGGGAATTCTTGAGACTGGAGCTGGAAGCTTAGAATTTCCCCCTGGCAGAGGCGTCAGAGGTGAACTTTGCCAGCCAAGACCTGCCAGGAACTGCTTTCTGGCACTGTCCCATCACAGACATCTTCAGCCTGGCAGATGAATTGGTTAAGCAAGAACTGCTTCAGTTCATATCAGAAATCACTTTTTCAGCTTATCTACAAAATCTTGGAAGTACAAATTTTTGTTTTGTGCCACATGAAGCATTCCAATTCCCCCCCAAATTAAACCTTTTATTTCAAGGTATTCAGGACATGCAAAACCATCAAAGACTGACCCAACTGTGACATGGGCAGCACAGTAGCCAACAGGCAGTAACCTGGCAAGGGCTGCAAAACACACCTCAAAGTGGGCCACTTTTTTTGGGTGGTTCACTCCTGCTGAGGTCTCTGAGCAGCACTGGAGGCAGCTGCAGCAGCAGACACTGTGAGGACAGAATTGCTGCCCCTCCAGTCTCACAGGTAAATTGTCTTGGAGCTTCTACAAATGGTCTCCAGCAGCAGGGACAGCTGAAGGAATGGGAGGAGGGAGGTTTCAAATTCTCATCATACTCCTTTCCTGTTCCTGAAGTAGTCTGTGCATTAGCAGGGGCAGGTGCAGAAATGTCCATGATCCCAGAAATAATCTTACCTCGTTCCATACATGAAATGCTGCCCCAAGAATAAGCTCCCAAAGAGGAGAGATGCCATTTCATATTCAGGATGAAAAACAGACAGGTCTGTGTGTTCCTGAAAGGCCTGATGTGCATCAGCATCACTTCCATTTCCTGCAACTTGTTCCAACAAACGTTTATCCATTTGCCTGGGATATTCCAGCTGGAGACATAATTTGATGATTTTAAAAAGAAACATGAATCATGTTCCAGCTGTTTAAGAACAAGTCTCAGGATAACACACCATCCTGTCAATGTTAAAAAAATAGTCTGACAATCCTTTATGAAACAGGAGCTCTGTTCCTCTGCAGTTCAGACTCCAGATCTGGCAAGGATCAGCTATGGCCCAAGGTGCTTGGCTTTGATTCGTTGGTGAAATCTAAGTATTCTAAATTTAGGACTGAATTTAAATCCCCGAACAATCAGTTTGCATAAACTCAGTAGAGCTGAAGTATTAAAATTTCCAGTCAATCCACAGATTACAAGGCTGGTCTTGACATTTCCTTGGTGTTACTTCCTGTGTTGTTTCTGAATTGCCTCCTTTATAAAGAATTAAGTCTTTTAGACTTAACTGCAACTTTTAGAGAGGTGTGTAAATATCTCCAGGAACCCTTCTGACACCTCCTCTTCCCTCACACCCTGGCACAGACCAAGCCAACAGCAGTTGGTGTCTGCAGTGAGAGGCCTCAGGCACAACAGAGGTGTCCAAGCCCCAGGAGAGCAGCTCCCAGTGCAAACCAGCTCAGCTCCCAGTCCAAACCAGCTCATTCCAGCAGCTCCCAGTGCAAACCAGCTCAGCTCCCAGTCCAAANAGCAGCTCCCAGTGCAAACCAGCTCAGCTCCCAGTCCAAACCAGCTCATTCCAGCAGCTCCCAGTGCAAACCAGCTCAGCTCCCAGTCCAAATCAGCTCATTCTGAGCAGTTCCCAGTCTAAACCAGCTCATTCCAGCAGCTCCCAGTCCAAAGCAGCTCCTTCCCTCTGCACTCCCAGCTGGCATTCCCTGTGCCAGGGGAGCTCCCCCAGGACACCCTCAGCCTACAGTTCTGGTCCCCAGTGAGATCACCCACAGTGTCACTGCAGACCTGCACTGCAGAGCAGTGCCCAGCTGCCATCAGCTCTGGGGGTGACATTAAACACTCAGTCCTCAGAGCAGCTGGGAAAGCACACACAGGACACTTCAATGTGTTTTCTGTCGGCAATTACTTGTGGAAAAGAGCAGTGTTCCCTGGGGTGAAGACACCAGTTGATGTGAAAATGCAGAACATGAGTCACTAGTGTAGCAGGAGGGAAACTATATCCCTAATATTTTTCCCCCTCTGTCTAAATCCACATTTTTGTGGAAACATAAAAGCAGTTTCTGCAAAAGCTGATGACCACTCTGAAGATTTTTCTTTCTGGTACTTGGTTATATTAACAATTCCACCTTGAGATCTTTGCTGCCAACAGCTGGTTATATTTTTTTGCAAGTGCCAGAAGGATTTTAAAATCAAGTTTTATAAAAGAAAAGTCCACAGTCAGATATATCAGTCTTATAAACTTATCTGTGTTCAGAATTAGTATTTCTGTAACAAAAACAAAAGGGAAGCAGATGCAGCCTTGGAGAAAACCTAATAAAAAAAGGAAACCAGCTTTACAGGTAGAAATGATGGGTTCAATATGTGACAGGTATAACATGCTGTTTCATTTTCTTCCAGTAACTTCAACTTCCTTCATTATTGACAAAGTGGAAACTGAAATCAGGTTCTTAGTTTTAAGAAAAGCCAGGATTAGAGTCTTCCCTGTCATACCATTAATATAACCACATTAAATGTGGTTATAAAAGCCACGTTAAATAAGACAATTTAAGCCATAACAGAAATAATTCCCAAATCCTTCCAACTCTAAAGTCAAGCTGTGCAGTTTTTTTACCCAGTTCTTCAACTTTTAATAGTTAAAGGGGAAAACTCCCAGTTTAAGGACTAATATTGCAAACACAAAGCAGATGGTGCTTCACATTATCATGAGGTATTAGAGCCTGCCACCTGCTATCACACCATCTAACAGGATACTGTCATCAACAGAAAACCAAAGAACATCCTTGCAACTGAAATTTGTAGGGTAACATCTGCAGAAGCAGTCAGATTTTAAAAGCTCTACAGTCAGCTTCTCCTAACCTCTTCCTTACAAAGGCTGGACAGCACTTAAAACTTTTATATTAATTTATTCCAAATTGTACAAAGCAATCGATTTTTACATTTCCAAAACACTTACTACAAAGTGATCAAGGAAGAAACTACTCATTCCTTCAAAGCCACGAGACAGACAACTCCCTTTACAAATAAGCTCTAGCAGTTGTATTGACTTTTTGTCAATAATTTTTCCTCTATATTAAGTGATACCTGCTGACCATTTCATTTGAGGAGTCAGTTTTACTGGATCATGACTTTATGCTTGTATTAGTTGGCCAAACCAACCTAGAATTTCAGTCAGCATCAGATCTTTTCTCCTCCAAGGATTTCCACAGTACATGCATGTACTTTATTTACACATATGTTCTATATGTGTGTGTGTTTGTGCACATACATGTACCCACACACACTCATGACATTGCTCTAAGTACTGGACTGCTTCTGTCTGCTGAAAGAAGTTTGCACAAACTTCTCTGGTGCCACTTCTGGCACTTGAGACACATGGAAGGGAATCAAGTGTCTGGAGAGTTGTAAACAAGTATGAAAAAAAGCCTTTTGGAGCGGAATGATCTTCCCTGTGATCACTGTCCAAGGAAAGAGGCCATGGGATCGTCAGGTCTCTGCCTTTTCATCCTGTAGGCTTCCATCTCCTCCTCTGTTGGCTCCCTGGCCTCAAACTGGCTGTTGTAGGGTCTCTTCCTCTCATCCAACTGCATGATTTCTTTAACGTGGAGCAGACGAGCCTCTTCTGCATTTAGTGCCTGAAAGGAGAGCAAAGGAAAACAAAAATTCCACAAGGAAAGTTAAGCAAAAAAACCCCCAGAAGGTTTTTCTTAGATTCTCACATGATGGACAAGCAGCAGGCAGAAGGGATAAGCAATGCACACCTGTCTGGCACACCTACAGCACATTTCACTTCATGATCATTTTTTAGTGTTTAACATAAACTGATGCTAGAATGCTATTTAGCAAACAAGACACTTTAATCTCTTTCCAATTGTCAAAATCAAGTAAAAAACTCCTTGGATTTATCTAAAATGTAATCATGATCCAGCAAGTACAAAGCAGGTAAGCAAGCATCTGATCTTAGGGATTTGGGATGGTTTGCTGTTGTATCCTGGTATAGGTTTGGGGGTTTGATTTTTAAATCCTTTGTATTATTCTGCCAACTACTCCTGCTGCTCCTTGCTACTGAAAAGAAGTGCATTTGTACAGTGCCTTGATTAACCACAGATTTAATTGGTGTCCTCCAGGACACCCTGAGGCTGCTGTGCCCCTGGGAGGGCTGCTCAGCAGCAGGCAGTGCATAGTTTGGGGCATGGATTTACTGCACCAGCTGTGAGACTGGGCCCAAGCCTGGCATAAAAGGTGCTAAGTTAAGCTTTGACAGTGCCTTTGATCTCTCCACCTTTCTTCAATACACAAATCATTGTTCTGCAATGTGTTTTAGAGATCTACAGCTGTAGTTAGTGCCTAGGCATGAAGTGTTCTAAGTCATCTAAACTACATCTTTTAAAACTAAATATTTATTGAACGTTTGCCTGAGAAACAAGGAATGTACTTCAGAACATCTAACAGCATTTTAAATTTGCTCTAGCTCCAAATTAGCATCAAAGAACATCCCAAGGTATAGCACAGGAACTACATTATAGGCTTCATAACACTGATGTAAAATACATATCAAGTTCTTTTTGCCACAAAGCCACTGAAGAATATAGTGCACCTTTTTCAGTTTTTCTTGCTTCTTTTTCTCTTCACCCTCACTGTCTGAATTTGAGCTCTTCTTGTGCTTCTTCTTTTTCTTCTCTTTCTGTTTCTCTTGATGGATCTGTAAGGTGGGAAACAAGTTCCTGTTAAGATGCAACTTGCCAACATTAATAATGTCCAAGCCACTAAATCCAGACTTCTCTCAATGCTATTTGAGAGCTTAGTTTTCCATAGAGGTGTTAATAATCTAACATTGCAGTCCAGTCATTTTCAGGCACATTATGACTCTACAGAATTTTGTAGTTATGCATATCATTTCATCTCTTAAAATGTTGAGGCAAAATATGTCTTCCTGAGAATGGGAAGCATCCTACCTCCATCAGTGTTTTGGGTTTTGTCATGTGTTCTTCCTCCCCAGGCTGCTCTTCCAGTAAACTTGCTTCTGTGTTCTACACGACAGACAAGAGCAGGGATGCCCAGTTATTAAGCACATTTGAAAGGGGAAGGACAAAAAAAATCCCACAACCCCCCAAAAACCCAACTCTCCCAAAAAGCAAAACAGTCTAAACCTTAAGCAAGGCAGGAGAATACTTTCCAGCTCTTCCCAAGTGACTGAGACAACACTTACAGCGATTTCTTTCCCAGCCTCTCCTGTGCAGTAGGAGTACTTGACAAAGGAGTGGCAGCACTTGTACCCCCACTTGCCTTCTTTCCAGTATGAACCCCAAATGCACTGCAAGAGAACACACCACAGCAGTTATGGCACCAGGACACTCCTGCAGGAGCCTGCAGTTTATTGCTCAGCTTATATCCTGGGGAGTGGGTTATTCAAACAGTCCAGAAGGAAGTTATGAGCAATACTTCTGCTATTCCACATCAGCCCTACAAGGTGCACTGTCAGAAAAGAGAAAAGCAACAGCATGTAGTCAACTCATATTCAAAGTGGAAGGGAAACAGAGTAACTTCCCCTTTAGTTTAAGACTGCCATGGCAACTCCTCAAATTCACATCCCAACCATGACAATCTGAAACTCCTCCTCAGCAGAGAAGGGAGAGTGTCACATTTGAGAGAGGAGAAATTTATTTGCTGTATTAATTATATTGTACTGTCTCCTACTATACCTCCAACAGGAAGGTATTTAATTTTTCTAGAATTTTAACACAACCCAGGGCTTACTGTATGGTTGTTGATCTTTACATCCTCTTCATACTTAGAGCAAGCAATAGCTTTCTCTTGTCCTTTGATGACTGTTCCATGCCTGGAGTACTCCACGTAATCTTCTGTTTGAGCTAACAGCAGCTCAGCTGGTGGGGCATCCAGGTGTTCTTGTCCTCCATACTAAAATGCAAATAGAAATTACATATAATAGGTTTGAAAAAAACCATCTTTCCTGTAGTTAAACAAACATTTCAAAAACGGCACCTTCAGTGCCTTCTGAAGAAGCCATGAGAGTGGATGGTGGCAGTTTAATCTGTAATGAATACTGAAGACAGAAATACATCATCTCCCATGGCCACTGTGGTGTTTAGTTTTACATGGTTGGTTTTTTTGGTTTTGTTTTATGCCCAGAGAATGACAACAGTGATATTCCTCACTGAGAGCAGGAAAACTTTTCAGACCAAGCCAAAAGGCTCTGGTACAACCAGAGCAGCATTTTCTGTCCCCCTTCAAACTTGAATGTTGACAAGGTTAGTAATTAAATTGATTATTTAGGTCTTCTGCAGTTGCCCAAGAAGTGAGTTGCAAAATATAAAACAAATATTTATGTACAAGACTGCACCCAAAACTTGAGTCATGAAGAAATTCAGATTTCTTCAGTGGAGAAATTCTGACAGTTATGGAAGAGCTCCCAAAAATACAAAGAAACACCAACAGATGTTCAAAAGTTCCTATATTAAATAATAACATTAATCTAATCGATGATAGTGTATAAAAATATTTTTATATTTATAAGTCCGAGCTGCTGAGAACAGCTGATGCCCTTTCACATAGGATTAGTAATCTTGGTTGTTCCCCAAGACCCAGACATCCAACTTGACAGAATTCTTATTAAATAAAACCAAATGCCTATTACCTTCTCTAGGATGCTTTCTTTCTGCTGTGCCTTGAAATCTTCTTTTTTCACTTTGAAGGATTTATAGAGGAGCTCTAATTTGGTAGGGTCTGCTTGAAGATGAACTTCAGAGCCTTTGTCATAAGCTTCCCAAGCAAACACTGTGTACACAAGAGATTTCACTCAACATTTACTCTAAAACTGACATACACATTCTTCAGTTCTGAAGCAATTTGGAAGAAGACCTCAATCCAAAAAGACTTATTTCTCTTTTGCAAGAAACCAGCAGTTTAAGTGTTTTAAGTCCCTTTCCTTACAAAGCCCCCAGAGCAGCCCCACTCACGCTGGGTCTGTGCCATGGAAATGGTGTCTCCCGTGTAGCGAACGAAGTTGTCACCGGCGTAACCAACCCTGCAGGGGAGAGCAACAGGACTGAGCACTGGGAAGGGGATTTACTCTTAAATACAATCACACAACTGCAACAGGGAAGAAAAAACTCCCTTTGTGCCCTAAGAGTTAAGAATGGAGGGAGAAGCAGGCACATTGAACTGGATACATGAAATGAAAGCCCTGGCTCCCTGTGGAGCCATGGAATTATCCCACAACCCCCTGGAAAACCTGCTGTGTGTGTTCACAGGGAAACATGGCACAGGCCTGGAACTCTGTCTGGGATGCCAAGCACTATCAGTTAAACTCAGATCTAACTGCACAGAGACACCCATCAATGGTGTGTGACATTCCAGCACAATGATCCTCAGCCCCTGGATTGTGCCTCTCCAGCCCAGTCCGTGTCTGTGGCTGAGTCAAAGCCTGGGAACAGCTTTGCTGCTGCCTGCAAAGCTGGGACACTTCTGCACAGCCCTGAACAGATGCACAGTGTGTACATGAAACACAGGTTGAAGATCAAACAATGTTAACAACCCCATCCCCCCCCTTTCAACCTCCCCAGGGCCACTCTGGAAAATTTACAGTTTGCAAAGCTGTGGCAGAAACAGAGTCAACAAAGGTCAAACTATGACGAGAGAGACAAGTGAAAGCATCTGCATCTAAAACAAAAGAATTGACTGGCATTATTCTAGCTGGGGGCTAACAGAGGTGGAAAGAGCATTATTTACTACCATTTAGGCACTGCCACTCTATTCCAGGCAGTGAGCTAATCCAATTGCTGTGCTCTGAATGCATGTTTTACTCACAGCCTGCCTGCTCTGGAGGTTCACAGCACAGCACAGGTCAAGTGCCTGACTGGGGTGCTAAGTGAGACAGCCCCGTGTGCAGCCAGGGCTGCCCATTTTTAATTAAAGATGTGCACCTTTAATTAAACTGGCTGAATAGACAATGTCAAAGCTTTCAGATCTTCACTATGCAGAATCCACTCATATAGGAGATCTTACTCCTAATTCAAACATTTAGTTAAGTACCACAGACACTCTATGTTAGTCTCCAGTCCTGAATGCCTCCCAACAAACATAAGATAAAGTTTAAGATTTAGTTACTGAAATAATTTATATAAACATCATTAGTGTTCACAGGCATCACCTCTAGATGCAGCAGTGTTCTAGTCCCTGTACAGATCACTACACAAAATGAAAGTCCACACATCCCTGGAGATTAAGGGTCAGCATTACAAAAATACCACTTTTATACACTAAAACAAAAGGTGCTCCTAAATAAAACAGGGTTTTTTCCATGTTTACTACTACTTCTATACACAACTGACCAGAGATTAATTAGTAAAAGGACATACAGATAAAAGAAAATATACAACTATTTATCTAATTTTTAAGAGTTTTGTTGGATACACAAGAATGACCCTGTTTTAACTTACTCATCTGGATTCTTGCCTGTGTTGGCATACGGGTTCTCCCTCATGGCCCTTGTTTTGGGATCATAATAAGCAGAGTTTGGATCTAGATTCCTCAAGTACTGGGGAAAGAAAGAACATACAACATATTTAATATTCATGATTTTAAAAGAACTGAAGTTACTCCTTTATGCCCCAGCTTAGACATTTTAAAAGTTCTATCCATGTAAAAAGATGACCTTTATCAAGCCATAACACGAGCATGAACAGAACTGAAAACAGACCTTAACCCCAAGACACAAAGTCATTAATAACTGAGTGCCCAATTTATTGAACTGTTTGTAACTGTTCTTCACTCACTTTGGCAATATCTTCCCGAATGCGCAGGTTCCGAACCGTGATACGTCTTTTAGAGTCAAAGTTCTGCCCAGGCATATCAATGTCATCTGCATATTTATCTTCATCTTCATCTTCACTGTTATGATCTCTTTCCTGAGGAGAGATGGGAAACTTGTAAGTCATTCACTCCAGAGAGCAGCCTGAGAATCTGATCCTAGTGGTTTCCTTACAGTTCTGCAACCCCTGCAGTTCCAGGCCAGCACAGCTCACCCGGGCTGAAGTGCTGTCAGGCCAACCTACCACTGACACTGCTCAGAAATACTCCTGGGGAAGGATTTCCACTTCCCCACGTGGAAACAGTTATCAAAACATAACTGTGATGCTATTAAGAAAACAGTTATATTGAGCAAAATATACCACATTAAAAACTAGTTATGTGCTTGCATCTCTAAGGTCTGACAACACACAGGAATTAAAACAAAAACCCCTCTAAGAAATCCAGCAATCTCTGCCTGACAAAGACCAGGCAGCCAGAGGCATGGACATGCCAGTTAAACCCTTATGCCACCCTCATTTCACTGCTTCACTAATACAGGTCCTTCCTTCTGCCCATGAGTGATGCAGTGGGTAATCAATCATCTTACTGTCTGTGAATTGGGCTCCTCTTCTCCCCACTGGTGTCTTGGGGAGTTCTGCAGCAAACAAAGAGCACATCAGCAGAGAAGACAAGATAGTGGAGAGGGGAAAGATGGCAGGGATACAAAGGGCAATCAAAGCAGAGCTTGATGCTGGATACAAAATACAATTTACCAGTGGCACAAATTGCAGAAAGATGCTACATTATGTTCTAGGAAAGAGCTCAACTGTCTCTGTGACATTCAGGTGTTGGAGGCCTTTTCACTGCATCCCCAACTAAGTTTCCCACTCCTTGCAAGAAGAGCAAATTCTAGAACTGTGTTGCTGTTACTTAGAGCTTGCTATGCCTTTGAACACTGGTGGATTAGACTAAAATATTTCATATCATGCAAATATAACCAAGTTTCAACTCTGAAAGCTTAGAAAACAACCAAGAGGATATGTATTCAAGGATTTAGTTAGAATTTACAGGAATACTAAAAGCATGAATCAGAAGGCATAACTGAAGCTGGACAAAGATAGCCTGACTTCATTTTTTTAACCTGTTTAGCCTCCAACTTGAAAATACTTGCAGGGGTGAAGATGAAACAACTGTGAGCCCTGGAACACTGACCAACAAATTGGCCAGTGCTGACTATGCAAATCAGCCCCAGTCCTCTTCTTCAGAGACAGTTCTGAAGTTTGTTTGAAACTTTTTTTCTTACAGCTTCATTTTTTTAAGGTGATGCCTAAAGATTTTGTACATTTTAATATAGCTGTATAACTTGCTTTCATTTTAGACAGTTACTAAAGTGTTTTCTCCTGGTTTGTGCTACTTTCCATTGAATTTCTGTTTAACAATCTTTCCAAGGAAAGACATTTTAGCAAGGACATCCTGCTCGGGATGTGCACCTGGACCAGAATAATGAGATATAAACAAGATAGAAGGCCCAGAACCCCTGGAGGGGCTGAGGGTGGTACCAGGGGCCAGGATGGTTTTTGGGTTGAATATACCCACTACATATGGAAATCAGTTAAACTTATAGCAGTGTGAGAATGCTCTGTGTGTGTGTGTTAAAATTAGAATTTTGTATCAAAGATTACCAAAAGCACTGTCTATAATCTAGGAGGAACTGCAGGAATTAGTGAAAGGTGCAAACTCTGCAGTTATAAGCCAGAGGGAAATACATTTGCTCAGCCTTCAAAGAACCAGAGACACTGCAAACAGCAACAACTGAAGAAAAAACAAGTTGGTTTAAGACAAAGAAAATACCTTCCTATTCCAATTTCTACTAAGCATTACCAAACCAATACATAGTCACATAAGCCATTACCTCAACATTGGCCAGATCTTAACAATCTTTAAATACAAAAAGAGCATTTCAGTACATGAAAAAAATGACTACATGGAAAACAAGTTCTTCTGACTCAAAATTCCATGTAATTAATTTTAACAGGAATAATAATCACACAGAATTTTAGTCCATAAGGGGAAAACAAAGCAACTCTAATTGGAAAGATGCTTCAAATTCTTGAATATGACACAGAGTGCCAGGAAAATCTTTAAATTACTGGAGGGCATAAAACCTAATAGCAGACCCTGCACAGAGAATAAAAGAGTCAGAAAGCAGAAGTAATCTGTTGTTTATTTATTCAGCTTAAACAAAAATAAAGTGGGGTTTAGTTAACTTACCACTTGCTCCAGCTTCCCTGATGCCAGCTCCTCCTGAAGCTTCTGTGCTTTCAGGGTACGTTTGGCCTGGGGAAGAAGAAAATACACTTGTTTCCATGTTTCTGTTCAGCACAAGGTTTAATATTAACAGTGCACACTAGCAGTGTTCCTCCTCCCAGCCCAGCCAGGCCAAACACCCAACCTTTCCCCAGGGAATCACAGCCCCTACATACCAAATCAACCTTGGAATATTCCTCCACGATCTTCATGTGCTCCTCTGGGTTATACCCATTCCAGCGATCCCGCTTCCCGTCGTAGTCAAACATCAGCTGGGGCTGCACGTGTTCATCCGGGGCAATGTTCATGCCTGTGTATTTTGCTCCAACTTTCCTGGGCCTCTGAAAGAGAAAAGGATGGTTAGATCAGCCCATTAGGCTAAAATATGTGACTCAGATATCCGTTTAAAAATCTTATCAAATCAAGCTCCTCTCTAAAGCCAGTTAATTATAAATTAATGCAAGTAGTTCTGCATTTCAGTGTAGCACAGTTGACTCCAAACCCCATCAATTTTTAATTCTATTTTCCACAATTAAGAAAGCAATCAGAACAGTTTTTAGGTGGCTTCTGACTGACATGACCCAGAAAAACAGGCACAGCAGCACTTAAGTTAATGTAAATTAACATGACAAGTTAAACATTTTCACTTATTACTGCAGAGCCTGTTACAAACAGAACTCACCAGCAACACCCCAAGTAGTATCACTTTTCCCCTTCATTTTTCCTACAGAACAATTTCTTTAGAAATTTCTAATCTCAACACTCACGACCATTTTCAACATGGCTTTTCCAAAGCCAGTATTTTTTGTTTGACCTATAGCTGGCTGTTCTTCACTAGGAGGAGCATTCCCATGGTTTCCAAAGCCATTAAGTCACAGACAGAAGTGCAGTTTACCTCCATGCAGTCCTTCTTTTTGTGTGTCAGGGCCCCACAGTTCTCACAGGCTCCTTTTCGGTACCTCGTGGCCACAGAGTTCTGGGCAGGGGCACAAAGGGCAGAGTTACACAAACCTGGGCAAGAGTCATGCAGTGACACCCAAGGTGTGACCCACCCAGCCCCCCAAACACTGCAATCTGCCTGCTGAGTGAGGATTCCCAGCTCCTGCCCCCCTCAAACCCACATAACCATCAACCACTTCCTCATGCAATCAAAGCAAATCTTTATATTCTGGCACAACCCTTTTGCATACCTCCTGAACTCCTCGTTTGTACCAATCTCCAGAGGAGTTGTACTGTTTCTGCTTCTCTGGCTGAGGTCTCTGATGCTTTAGGGTGGGTCTTTTAGAAGGATCTATGTACCATGGCACTGAGGAGATGTACTGGGGAATATGAGGATTGATATCCCTGTAAAAGATGTTGTGTCAGAAATATATGGCACGGGGAGAAAACCCCACAGCAATTCAGCCTAACAAATAACTCCCACATTGAGGTTCAGAGCTTTAGGAGGGATAATAAAACAATGAAGTTGGTAGAATGCATTGCAAAATAAACTTGATAACAGAGACTTTCACTGAGATTTTGTTGCCACCTAATTCACCTCAACTCCTGACTCCAAAGCAAGTGGCTTATTCTGTGTAATGTTACTGAGCACAAAAATAGCAACATTTCTCTTCTCAGAAGCAACAAGCCTCATAGAAACAAGAGAGGGAGGAGGAACAGCTCAGGTACACAGGGAAGTTCCCCCTTACTCATGTTTGAAATACCATCTGTAAGTAGCTGCAAAAATGGAACTTTTAGCAGAACTATCAATAGCTCACAGCAGATAAACACTGAACTTGCATTTTTTGGGAGAGTATCTGTCTTCTAGAGCGTTCAAAGAAAATCTACGAACTTCAACTATTTCCTTCTGCAGTGACTCATGCAGAAACCCTGTGTCACCCTCCTAACCACTGTGTAACCACACCAGAAAAAAGGCACTTCTAACCAGCAGCTTTAGAGCAACTCAGCTTTAATAAAACTCACTTTCCTTCTTCATCCACCTCAGCAGGTGCATTTCCGAGTTTTCTCTGTTCTTCCAGTTCCTTCTTTTTCCTCCAGTCTTCCCTTGTCATCTTCTTCGGCTCCTCCAGGCTCACGTCGTTTGCCCCTCCTGCAGGGGTGGCGTTCGCTACCACCCCCGATGCCATTTTGGTTCTGTGCCCTGCAAGAGGCAATAAGTGAAGACAAACGCGCCGCCCTGCACCCGGCGCGGTGTGAGCGTAGCCCCTCCCGCGGCCTGTGCCGCCCGGGCCGTGTCAGTGCCCGAGCCAGCGGCAGGGCCCGCACGGCACCTCCTTACCGGCACTACCGCACGGCCCGGGCCCGGCGCGACAACGCACGGCGGCCGCGGGGAGCCAGCGCCGGGCCCGGGGCCGCGACCGGCTGGGAGCGCACGGCGGCACCCCTGAGGGCCCGCCCTGTCCCTGTCCCACTCCTTTGTCCCGCTCCTTTATCCCAATCCCTCTCCTTTATCCCGGTCCCTGTTTTTACCTGCCGGGCTGCGCCACCGACCCACAATGCCCTGCGGCCGCACACCCACTTCCGGGGTGGGGCCTGCTCCTGGGCCCGCCCCGCTCGTGAGCCAATTGGCTGCCGCGAGTCAGTCGAACCGGCCAATGGGCGGCGCGGCGCCAGTTTAAAAGCGGCGCCGTGGGGTCGCGGGGCGCTTTAAGGAGTCAAGAGAGTGCGTTGGGTATTTCGGGACATACCGGGGGCCGGGCGGTGCCGCCAGGCCCGGGGGTGAGTGAGGGTGTCCTGACGGTGCCGCCAGGCCCGGGGGTGAATGAGGGTGTCCTGACGGTGCTACCGGGCCCGGGGGTGAATGAGGGTGTCCTGACGGTGCCGCCAGGCCCAGGGGTGAATGAGGGTGTCCGGGCGGTGCCGCCGGGCCCGGGGGTGAGTGAGGGTGTCCGGGCAGTGTGAAATAGGGGTTTGTTCCCCCTCATCTAGGGACTAGTACGTGACAGCTCCGTTGGTTTTAATGTAGCTTGCCTAAAAAGTGTGCTGTGATGGAGGAAATGACAAAAATTATTTCTTCTTTTTCCTATATGAACTTTACAGGGTGGTCTCATCAACCTGAAGATGGCAGCTGTGATCTCTGTTGGTGCAGACAATGTTGCTCCTGAGAGCCAGCTGCTGATCTCTCCAGGGTCTTGTGAGTATTTGCTGCCCTAAGGCAGCAAGGGGTTGGGTGAGGGGCAGAAATCATGTCTTGTTATTCACTCTTTTCAGTGGTTTTCTATTCATATATCTGTTTACCTAACCAATTTTTCTAAGCTCATCAATTATCATAAAAATCAAGATAACTGGCCTTTTGTCATTGTGGCTTATACTTATGAGTTATAAATGATGAACAAAGATTTCTATGGCAAGAAGTTTTCCAGCACGTGCACTTACTGAAGCTTTAGGGTTGTTATGGTGCTAAAGTTTGCTTTTTTTTCTTCCCACCACTCCAGCAAAAGGAAAGAGCACACACTCTGGAGGAGTAGTTTGCACTCCACTTCATAAAAAAGCGTTCTCACCAGCAGCCATGACTTGCTCTAGGAGAAAGGCTCTTGGTAAAAAAGCAATCACTACGTCTGCAGCCATGTCTCACTCTGGGGGAAAGGCTCTTGGTAAAAAAGTAAACACTGTACCTGAAGGCACATATCAGCCTTTGAGAAGGGCTCTTGGAAAGGTGAATACAACTACAGGAGTCACGAGCAAGATGCCCCAGATGAAGCAGGAAAATCAGCCCCAGATGAAGCAGGAAAATCAGCCCCAGATGAAGCAGGAAAATCAGCCTTGCACTGCAAACAAAGTGAGTACAACATGCTGCTGCTGCAGGAGGGGGGAGAGGAATGTGTGGTTTGTTGTGGCTTAACCCTGGCAGATTAAACACCACACAGCTGCTCCCTCACTTTCCCTTGGTGGGATGGGTGAGAGACCTAGAAGGGTAAAAGTGAGAACTCACAGGCTGAGATAAAGACAACTTAATAAATAAAATCTCAAAGGAAGACATAAGCAGCTGAGTGATGCTGTGCCAGTCCTCGAGCAGTGGCAGCCTTGGCACACTTCCCCCTGTGTTCACTGCTGAGTGTGCTGCTGTGCAATGTGGGGATGTCCCTCTGCACACTCGGGGTCAGCTGTCCTGGCTGTGCACCCTCAGCCTCCTCGCTGGGGGTTGTGAGAGGCAGGAGGGGCCTGGGCTCTGTAAACCTACTCAGCAGTAGCTCCCACAGCTGTGTGTATTGATGCTGTTCTCAGCAGGAATCCAAAACATGTCTCATATCAATTACGAGGAAGGAAAATAACTATTCTAGCCAAAAGTAGTGCATCTACATAGATGGCTCTGGGGAAGACAGTCTCAGTTAATGCCTTATTCGCATGTTAAGTACTAACAGTTTCATATGAGCTTAAATGTTCCAGTGCAGTCACTTGTTGCCACTGTATGTAGTACTGAGCTACACAAACTGCTGAAATATTTGCCCATCTCCAGCTTTGTGTTGAAGGTGTAGCATTTAGGCCTACTTGAGGACTGTAGGGCAGGTGTGCTTGTATGAAGACCTGAATAGAACAGGAGAGCCACTACAAACATAATACAGTAGCTCAAATAATATGTCTTCCTTTTTTTAAGACTGATGAAAAGACTGAATTAGACAGCTGGACTTCAGAGTCTGATGAAGATTTGGTAGAGTGTAAAGAAGAAGATTGGGTTGAGTCTGAAGAAGATTGGCCAGAAGTAGAAAATATGTTTCATTTTGATCCTCAAGGTAAGAACTATTGGTGTAATTATTAAAATGAACAATAAAGCTTTCATGAGTGCTAGCATTGTTGTAAGACTTTATCCAAGCTATTGTGGCACACAAAGCCAGCATTGCATTTCTCCTGAGTCCCTTCTGAAACATAAGGCTGCTTGCTTTCTCAGTCCTTCAAAGTGTATCCTTAAAGTCTTCTTCATGGGGATGTGAGTGTGTGAAAACTGCTGTGCCAGAGACTTCAGTGTTGGTGAAACATGTGCTGTGCTTGCTGAAGTCATGAAAAGCTGCTCTGTGTTAGCAGTTATATTATGCAATCTAGTCTTTTGGTAAGTGTCTGTGTAGGGAATGTCACGGACAGCTAGGGTGTAACTGCAAATCAATACCCCTTGTGTTGTGTTGTTTTAGATTGCTTCCCATTTAATTTAATCCAGGAGAATTTGCAGCTTCCTAGGCTACTGCACACTTACTTACTCAGACTGTCTTTCCCAAACAGACTTTGAGGTCTTTGATGTTCCTGAGGAGTGCAAACTAAGCAATCTGGACCTGCATGGTGTTCCCCTCATGGTATATCCAAGGACATACCACAGATGTGTAGAGGAGGAGCCAACACCTCTTCCCACTCCAGAGCTGTCGTTTACACCCAGTAAGTGGAACCTTAGCCTGCTTTTCAGTACAACAGTGCTCCTCAGGGTTTGGGAGGGAAGGCAGTTGGCTCCAGCAGTGAATTGCTGTTGCTGTCTGAGCTGTACCAGAGCAGTGCCCCAGCACCAGCCAACTCTGGTGTGGTCCAGCTGAGTGGAACTGCCCAGCCCTGCTGGTACAGGTGGTGGTCTCAGTGGTGTTGCTGAGGGGTGGCATAACCCAGCTGCCACCAAGCACCACACAGCTGCTTTCTGGGTCCCCTGCTGTGGGATGGGGAAGGGAATTGGAAGAGGAAATGTGAAATAACTCATGAGTTTGAGATAAAAGCAGTTTAATAACTAAAGCAAAGGTCATGCATCAAGCAAAGCAAACCAAGGAATTCATTCACTACTTCCCATCAGCAGGCAGGTGTTCAGCACCCCCAGGACAGCAGGGCTCCATCACACGGGATGGTGGCTTGGGAAGACAAATGCTGTGACTCCAGATACCACTCCTTCCTTCTTCCTCCAGCTTTAGATGCTGGGTGTGATGCCAGGGTGTGGGATAGCCCTGAGGTCAGGGGCAGGCAGCTGTCCCAGCTGTGAGCACTGCTCAGCAACAGCTGAACCAGCCCTGATTTACCAGCACTTTCCAGCACAAATCCAAAACAGAGCCCATACCAGCTGCTGGGAAGAAAATGAACTCTGTCTCAGTGGAAAGCATCACCCTGAGCAGTCTTTTGCAGTGCTTTGCAAACTGTCAGCTAGGTGGGATTGGTTTAGACTATGAAACAGTATTTCCCTTGGTCATTCAGGAGGTTTATGCTGAGCTTCTGGGAGCTGACTTTGTGTTAGTGCACATTGTGAGTTTGAGGCACTGATTTGATTTATCTCTAACTTATTTCTTTATCTCTAACTGATTTGATTTATTTCTAACTTCAGGCTTGCTGCAAGCACACTTTGACTTCATTGCTAGCCTGGAAAAACTACACTTCCCTGAGCTGCCACCATTTCCAGCTGACTTTTATGAGGAGCAGGAATGTTGTAACAGGTTTTAAATTTCATGTAGTTCTGTATTTTAATAAAGGCTAATCTAACATGCATAGTACTAGACTTGTTCATTTTCAGTAGGCTCCAGGTGTGAGCAGTGCTTCAGAAGGAGGTATCTGACCAGCAACTAAAGCAGAGCCTGGGTAAGCTTGTAAGCAAGACTAATACACTGTTATGAACCATATCCAGGGGTTGGTACCTGCTGGTTAGACTACATGGCTGTGATAGATTGAGGTCCACCTGACCTCAGTTTGCATAACTTGATCCTTTAAAACACATGCAAGGGTTTAAACTAGTCTAGTGTAAATCAAGCACTAGAGCTGGTGCTCCTCCAGCATTTTTCATTTGAAATTGTTTGCTCTCCCCAGTGGTTCTCTAAGGTGATGTATGCTGAGTTTTTATGCAGCTATAGACTGCTTTTAATTGTCACAGCACTGTGTGGCTCCAGGGGCTGGGAGCTGTTTGGAAACTTCAAAGGATTCACCGAAATATCAAACGAACCAGATAAAAGATACAGGTAAAGGAAATTCTATGTAGGGATTTCAGGGTTTGACTGATCCTTAATTGCATTTTAATAGTTTTTAGTTCTTAACTTGTCTGCCTTTACTGAGATCAAAGTTTGATGGGTTTAGTCTACCAGACACACGAGTTAAACAATAGTCACTATAAAAGAAAATGACAAAATGCATCTTTGTCCTTATCAGTTCTAACAAGCTGGGAAGAAACAGTTGAAGCTTATTTTAACAGAGAAATTCCTGTAACTAAGGCACTGAAACAGCTCCACAGTGCCCTCCCGTGGCCTCTTGCCAGGCAGCCACAGTCAGGTGAAAACAGTCCCTGGTGTGTGAATCTCTGCCCAGCCTGGAAGCTTTGTCTATCCTGGATTCTTCTAAGGCTGTTTAGGTGTTGCCCAGTGACATTCCTTCTTAAATAATACACAGCCTTTGAGAGCTGCTTTTAGCAGCTGTGTGATCCTTTGCTTGGAGTAGAGCCTATTGTGTTTCATCTCCTGGATTTTGTGAAGCAGCTTATAAATTCTTTTAAGGTATTTTAAATTGTTAAAGACTCCCATTATTATGAAGCCAAGGGTTCTAATTTCAAAGCTGACTTACAAAACCTTGCTCTGTAAAACTTAGGAATAAAACTTCATTTTGTAAATGCAATGTCCCCTGGTTTCAGAAGTATTCTGACCTATAAAAACATGTTTGAGAGAAAAAAAAATCAAAATGAAAATGGAAACATTCCTCTGCAAAATTGATTCCAAGACCACAGCACTCTTCTAAGGATAATTTTTGCACTGGAAGATATTCAAAACTTGCAAGTTGCAGCCAGGTACTGAATTTTGCTTTTTACCTTCTAGCCAGTCTTGCCTCGGCTGTTTTTTGGTTGGTGGTTTTTTGTGGTTTGGCTTTTTTTTTTTTTTTTCCAGATAAGAGCTTTTCAACAGCTTCTGTCAGTGTTAACAAAGGTTTCTCTGAAGTGTTTTCTTCTGTGCCTACCTTACCATGCCCTGTTCTCTTTAAAATAGCAAGGATCTGGAAATGCTTTGCACTGAAATCTCATTTCTCAAGGAAGCTCATGTTCTAATTCAGTTGTGTTTTGGTTCCCCCCCATGGTATGTGTGACTATGCTCTGACTCTCAAGTCTTTTGCTACAGTGGTTTGCTGCTTTACAGAAGGTTATCAGGAAAAGCAGAGGGACGAGGGCATTTTTTAGTGCTGGAACTCAGCCAGTTCTGTCTGTCCTTCTCCAGATTTTTTCTTCATTTGGATCTAGCATCCTAGTTTTCTGATTAATACAGAGAGTAAAACATGATTTGTCTTCCTAACAGCTTCAACAGTATGCTTGAAAGAGAGATCAACATGTTCAGAATCTGATGCTCTCATCTGTGGAACAGCTAATGCTTTAAGTGTTTTACCCTGTTTAGGAACCTGCAAAAGTCAGTGGGAATTTGTTGACAATGCAGGGTCCCAGTGCTCATGTGACTGTCCAGGCTTAAGGGCTGAGTGTTTTTTCTGGTACTGCAACCAGGAATGGAACGTTTTTGTTTTGTGCTGGGCAATACTGTCAGATACCTAAAGTATAATTTTCAAAGCTGCCTGTGTGACTTCATACCCAGGTTCTATTTTCAGATGTAATTTGTGTGCCTGGAGGTACCCCAGGGCCTCTTTTGTACCTGTCCCCGAAGTGCAGCTCCTCAGAACTCCTGCCATGGTGCTGCTGAGCTCTGCTGGCCCTGGTGCCTGTGGCTCCTGGGTTTGCTCCAGGGGAATTCTCTGTAAGCACCCATTTCCAGGCAAGCAGTGAGTCTCCTTGATGCCCAGGCTCAGATGCTGCTTGGCCTCCTTGCTCTGTGCAGGCTGCTGTGACAGCTTTCAGGGCAATTCCTTCTCCTGTGGGATGTGGGCAGTGGATGCAGCCCCAGGAGAAGGTGGGGGTGTTTCCATTTCCAATGACAGCACTCAGATGAGTGTGGGGGAGGTCAGGGGTTGGATTCATGATGCTCCACAGGGTTTGCAATCCTGCTCCCAGCTGAGCTGCTCTGGAGGACTGTTCAGCTGCTCCTGAGCAGAACTGAGCAGGAGGCTTTGCTGTGCCTGGGCAGGGAGGGGAGGGGACAAGCTGGTGCCTTGGTGGTTATGCTGCTGCTATGAGGAGGAAGAAGAGGGGTTAGGAGACAGTCCCCTGGATGGATAAAACCTCCCTCCTTTGGGCTGTGGATGGAGAAGGAGGGTCCCTTTTCCTCTCTGTTCCTGACTCTTCTCTCAGGCTCTCTCTGGTTCTGGATGTTAGGTCTGTCTTTGGCTGGGTGGCTGCAGTACAAGAGGTCCTTCTTGCTGTCCTTCTTGCTCAGGGCTGACTCACTTCCTGCCTTTGTAACTCCTTTGAAACCTTCCTGTTTTTAACTTCTGACTGCAAAGCATCCAGTGAAGCCACTTCTGAAGCCCGTGACACTCACTGTGCTGTGCTGGCTGGGACCACTTTGCAGCACTTCTTTTCACTCCAGCTGCCTGACAGGGCAGCAGTGGCTTTTCTTCACCCACAGAAATGCTGCATTCAGGGCAGGGAGCACCATTTGTCACCAGGGCAGGGTGTAGGCAAGCCCAGGGCTTGTGGGCAGCAGTGGGGCTGGAGGCCAGGATGGAACTGTGGCAGCAGATCTCTGGGTGTGCTGTGGTTTGTGGGTCTGACTGTGCTGTACCAGTCTCACAGTCTTGCCCTCAACAGATGTTACAGCCAGTCACAGCAAAATAATTAAGAGAATGATGAACCTGAGTAGAACAACTCTGGTGGGGTTTTAAGGCACTCTGACAGATAATCTGGCTGTTGTGGGGGACACTGAGCAAAGCTGTGGGGGCTGTGGGCAGTGCTGGCAACACCCCAGCCCTCTGTGCAAGTGTGGAGCAAAACTCTTCCTTCAGGGAAAGAAATCTGTGCCTGTCCGTGAGCTCACGTACACAGAGACTCTGGGGGAAGGTTAATGCCTCCCTTCAGGCATTTCCTACTGGGAACATTTCCCAGTTTAGAAAAACCTGTCATGGAGGATGGCTGCAGCTCTCCTGTCTTGGCATGTCCTTCCCTCTCTTGTGAGCCTGTCCAGGAGCAGAGCTCTGGCTTCTGGAGGCTGCCCAGGTCACCAGGAGTGCACAGAGGAGCTGTTCTACCACCCCCTCTCACTCTGCTGCCCAAGCGTGCCCGACAGCCCTTCCATGCTTCCAGAAGAGGTAGGAGCACCGTGTCCTCATTCATCACAGTGGGCTGTGAGATGGCAAATCAAATCCTACCTGGCTTGTGATATGACCATGGCTTTTGTAAATGTGCAAAGTGGTCTATGAAAGGTGCATGATTTATGAAGTATTTCCTTGGTTTCCTCCTCTGTCAGCCTATTCTCTTTTCAATCGGTTTTATTGTGTATTAAAGCAATGAGACAAATCAGAGGGAGAGCTCTAAAATTTTTAAGTCAATTCAGCTTAAAGAAATCAGACAACTAGATGCACACAAGTAGAGAATAATATATATATCTTTGTATAAGGCTCTGTGTCATAGGAAAAGACCCACAGAACTCAGCTTTCAAGAGAAATCAAGTGAAAGTTTGTTTTTAAGACTATTGAGGAAGAAATTCTAATTTCTTCAAAAGTAATTTGGATTTCTCTGTAGTTTTCAATGGGACTAAGCTCCAGCTCCTCTTGGAATTCATAACTCATGGTGTTATCTCATGTCTGTTACAAAGAAATACTTTCAGCAGGGATGAAAGATTTATGAAATCATGCAAGAAATGACTATGTCTACTCTGCTTTCCGAAGGCTACGTTTCTGTGAAAGGTTTTTTATATGCAGGACCTGATTTATCTCTGATGCCTGCATGTTTTATACTGCTGTAAAGATTTTAACCGGTTTGGGAGAGATCTCCCTTCTGGGAGGACCATCTTCCCCACTGAGGGAAGGAAGTCAGCCCTTTCTATTGATACAGAATGCAGTGAAGAGCAGTAAACAGAGCAGTGAAGCTGGAACTACCTGGTGATGATGATCCCTGGGCTGTGATTTCTGCCCTCAGAAACCTCTGCATGACCACACACTGTGTTTCTGAGGGTGCTGCACTCAGGGCTGCAGTGGCATCTTGCTTGGGCTGACATAATATTGCCTCAAGAAATCCCAGCCACTGAATTAGGGTAAGATCAAGACTTCCTGTCAAAAAAGCAGTTCAGTTAGTCAAAACTTTCCAGATGAGATGCTAAGATGATAATAACCTGCCTGCTGTCAGGAACAGTGCTCAGTGTTTCCTCTCTCCCTTCATCAGTCTCTGTGTACAAGCTTTCTTTTCCCCACCCTCCTTTGATCATTGCTTTTGTTTCACAAAGCAGAGTGAAGGACCCGTCCTGTCATCTTTCCTTTCTAAAGGTCTCTGCAAATGTTTCAGCTTTACTGGACACTTTCCCGCTTTTCCTTGGAAGATAAGCCAAGGATTGGGGATGTGCTTCTGCCCCAAGGGACTCAGGTTCTGTACAGATGCTCTGCTTTGGGTTATCCAGCTGTGACACGTGCACATGATGACA